CTGCCTGCCGCGGCCCCCCCAGGCGTCTCCAGACAAGCCCGCGTCTGGCTGCCCCGGCCTGAGAGGGCGCTTCTGGGTGCAAGGCTGGCCGTGGGGCCCCGGGCGCAAAAGGTGCTCTGTGGGGTGCCCGGCTCTCACCTGCCAGATGGAGCCCCTGACCTGGCAAGGAGGTTTGCGGGGTGAAAGGACACAGCGGGGAGCCCAGGCGAGGCCTGCTGTTCACTCCTAGGGCGCCGACGAGTCCTCCGCCTTCTCCATGGACACACCTACGATGGAAAGGGGCCCCCCAGGGCTGCTTGTGGGCGCCGGGCCAGGCCTCCCCCTCTGCGCCCAGGGAGAGGCGGACTCAGCCACCCAAGGCTTTGGGGTGGGGGGCCCCGGGGGCGCGGTGTGGGCAGCACAGCGTCCAGTGGGAAGCGCCCTGGCCTCTCCACTGGAGTCTGGCGGAGGCAGCTGCCCTGAGCTCGGCCCTGGGAGCGGGGGTGGCAGCACCGCTCTGCCTAGGCCCCGAACCCCCAGCTCTCAGGCCGGCCCTCAGGTCCCTGGACACCTCCCCAGAGGCTGACTCCCCTTGGCGCCACAGGGCAAAGGGCAAAGGGCAGAGGGCAAAGGGTGGGGCTCAGAAGGCCCTGACTGGGCCTGCCCTGAGGGCGGGTTTCCTCCGGATTGAGCCATCATCCGCAGCCAGGGCTGGGGCCTTCTCTTCTACCGCCCCCGGCCCACTGTGGCCAGCTCCTTGGCTCTGCGTCTCTCGGCGTCTCCCAGGCCGCACGAGTGTGGGTGAGTTAATCAGGCTTGCTGGCCGCTGGCCGCTGCGGCCTCCAGCCAGCTGGCGCAGGTGGCGCTGGGCGCGCGGGCATTGCACAGGCTGACTAGCAGACCCTCCAGATTGCCTGAGGTGGGCACTGGGGCACGTGTGTGCCCAGGTGTGCATGCCTGAGCCTGGAGGTGGACATCAACGTAGGGGCAGCACGAGAGGACGAGTGAGAGTGCGGAAGAGGCGAGACCCCAGGCCCACGTGTAGGAGGGCCCCAGAGCCGGCCAGCGAAGGGCTGCGGTTCCCTGGGGCCCGGGCCGGCCAGCCGCCTGGCCAGCACCCGTGCCTGGTGACCCTGCAGTGCTGCGCTGGTCCCTAACTCCTGGCTGTGCCCACTGGCCCAGCACTGCCCCTGAAGTGGGGGGACTGCAGGGCATGGGGGCAGCTGGGCTTCTGAAGTCCAGGAGTTACACTTGAGCTTGGCGTGTGGCACGTTCGCAGAATCTCTTACCCAAAGAGCTGCAGGAGGTCAGGACAAATGTTGGGCCTCAAACATTGCAGGTAAGTTGAATGGTGAGCGAAGAACGTCTTGTCTAACTTACAGGCGAGTCCTGAAACCGGTCTGCAACACGGAAGCACAAAGGTGTCCACGGAGAGCACAGAGGACCCCAGGCTGACACCCGGGTCTGTAAGTAAAATATCGGGCTCCGTGTTTTCCAGCAGGCTGGGGCTTGGCC